TTAAAAATGTCTAGCGACTGGTTTCGATGTGTCCCTGTCACTCCTTTCCACATTGCGAAGGTGTTCTATGAATGGCAATCTGTGGTCTTTCCTTACACTTAGGTAGCACGGAAAGCTGTAAAACTCTTGCACAAAAGCTCATTTTTCAAACTGGCAGTCTAAATCCCACAAGTATCAATGAACGCTTTTCATTCTACTAATTTATCTGTGTTTTTCTCATTGCCATGTTTCCACCAATAACGTAGCTCCATTTTCTACCTTTAAAAGCACACAACCCACAACTCCTCTAGTCGCTTCAACAAAGGGCGAATGCTCGAAACGTCAGCTTTTGTAATCGTTACAGTGGCCAATTTACCATTTCAACCTTGTTCATATATCCAAATTATGAAGCCACAAGTTGGGTGCGCAGCATGTTTTTATATTTTCTTTCCTTATAGTGTACTATAACTGATCATTTTGTCACTGACACATCACCTGTGGGTCAACATGAGTTTATTCTATAATTGCAAGGGTGAGCATAACCCTGTAAAGCAACAAACAATCCTTTAGACTTTTCCTCCCTCCCAACATATAGCCTCATTGTTCAGTTGGTAGTAGGGCCCATCTAGCATCAGGAAGGGGCACAACCAAATCCTGTTTGGGCAGGAAGTAATTTTTGAAATGCAATTTCTTTTTATAAGCTGCTGTACATCCAGGGCTCGACACTAACAGTAGTCAACTAGCCACAGACTAGAAGAAATTCACTTTTGGCTTGAGGTTTTCGATTTCCACCCACCAGTTTGGCTAGTAAACAAACTGAAATTGTTGTAACATCTAATTTGTCACTAGCCACTTGGCTAGTAAGTTGAAAAGTTAGTGTTGAGCCTTGACACAGGCAAGGGATATGAATTTAATTGCGAGAAAACAAAATCGGAATGCAGCTTATCTGCAGGTAGAAAGAATTTTTACTTGGGCTCTGAAAACATAGAGGTATATCCATGTTCACTTAAAAATTTTAATTACAACACACAAAACAAATTAAAGCAAGTTCTTTGAGAACAATCCCTCTGCTAGCAGAAACCATGACATTTTCTTTGATTAAAATAAATGTTTACATACTTTTTGTGCAAGATACATCCACTAAGTGAGTTGGCACATATAAAGTCTTGATCAAACAAAACAACTATTCAAGTCATTCCGATGATTCCTGAATGGAATTTTCTGGTAGCTAATCAGAGCTAAAAGAGCAGATTATTTAGGTGCATTCTAAATTAAAAATCTTGGTGACTCACCAAAGCAAATTAATCGGACAACATCTCCCTCAGCTAAACTTCCATTACACAAAGTGCAAACTGGATTATAATCACTGTCCTGGAGCCAGTGTAGATACGACTTCACAATACACTTGATCATGAAAGAGTGCAGAAAGGAGAAGAAATGAGATAAGATAAGATAATGACTTTATTTTAAGAGGGTAGCACATAACAGTTCAAGTACAACTGATGACCCTGTGACCCTCTATCCCCACCCATCCCACCCCAGGGGAGGACATCCATCACACAGTAATCTCGCGTGTGGGAAATTAATGTCTCCTACCCCAAACCCTGCAGGAGACAGGACCTCCATTTATTCGTCCCTATCCAAGAAGACTAGAATATCTAACCATTTCTTGATGTTACAGTAAGGTAGCAAATTCTTCTCAGTTATTTAAAGACCCTGAGTGTTGGTCCCGCTGGGGCTTAAACCCTCGACCTCCCACACAACAGTCCAGCGCTCTATCCATTGAGCTAACTGGGAGGTGGTTAGAGATATAATTCCAATCAATTTGCTTGAGTTTGCAATAGCCTTATGCTTGAGGCTGAACAAAAATAATAGGATACAAGGAATAATGCCAACAATGATGAGGAAAAACATGATAAATTTATGCTTGATGCTTGAAGTGATTTTTTCAGGTGGCTCTGAGTTCTGAGGAATTTAGGAATCTTGGGGTCTTCAAAATCCTTGTTTGCAATCAATGCAACAAAACTTACCTTAAATATAACTTTATCAAAACTTGTTCGTAATTCTTGTTGTTTTATGTAACTTAATAACCGAAGTGTACCTAGATGAAATGCATATTCAACTAGAACGTAACTACCGATGGCACATCCATAGGCAAATTAATTAAACGAGTTCAACAAAAACAATAACATATAACTGACGAAGCAACTTCAGAATACCCGTCCAACTCATTTACGTGTGTCGGGAGGCTTTGGAGAATGAGGCATAATACAGTAGCCAGACCCATCATCATCGTTAAATATTTACGATGATTCCTCCTAAATAAGAATTAAAAACATTATATTGCATCTAGTTGCTAACCCTAGGATGACTTGAAACTAGGCAGTGTTCACAAACATTCACGCGATGTTCGAAGCAAAATTGGGTAGTAACTTTCTTTTTAGGGCATTTACATAATCCCATGGTTATTTCCCACCGATAAAACTTTCACATGAACGCTAAAACGGCAAGATTTTGGACGAATTTTCTACGAATTTCTATCCCTTCGCTTGCCACGTCGCCATACTTCTCGAAAAATATCTGTGCTAAGTAGCCCAGCCTTGTCAATGAATTTAGCACCAGATTGCACTCGGTCAGATGTACACCACCCTGTCGATTTGGATATTACTTGCTTGTGCAAAGCGTGCAGTGAGTAAAACGGAGTGAAATAGTAAACAGCATGATCCACCAGAATGACTTATCTCATTTTATAATAGATATTAACAATATTCGATGAGCTGCGGCTTCAAAATCTTGATGATAGAGGAATTGGACGTAATGTCTTGCCTATCCCTCAACCTGCTTCATGAAATAAACTATGACGATGATGATGATGATGATGATGATGATGATGAAATGCGACCAGTCAGTATAAGACTTGCAGACTGAATTGTAATTTTTCAGACAGCTATTGTTTACAGTGCGTATCAACATGATAAAGTAGTAAAAGGTAATTTCTCTTGTCTCATAATCTTAACAAAAATTCAAAGGCACGTATGCTTTGACACCAAGCTGGAATTTCGTGAGGCAGAATCGAAATTAAGCGACTGAAAAATAACGATAGAGTCGTAATCTCGTCATTATGAAGTAAACAAAAAATTTAGATGCACGATACAAATTCACAGAGTTGCTGGTCGGGAAAGAAGCCTACAGGAGGGCTGCCTCGAGAGAGAGAAGGAGTAGAGAAGTATGCCATTGCTGATGAAGGTGGGTCAAATCATCGGAAAGAGAAAAAATAAAGAAGACAAGAAGATAAGGAATAATTGACAGAGGGAGCCTCAGTTCAGAAAAAGGCTGGATCTGCGTGTTCACTTGCTGGCTGTTTTCGTAACCCTATAAATCTTTCAAATAAAACGTAGAGGCTATAAAACCAGGTATCGACGATTTGTATTCAAAATAAGTCTTCAAGAACACTTTGAGACAGAACTGGGAACAAAGAAACTTCTGCTGATCAGCCGGTACCGGTGCATCAGGAATTTTTTTCCCTTATCGAACCTCGTTCCCAGGTCTTTTTCCTCAACTAAGGGAAAAAGACCAGGGCACGAGGTTGTTAAGGGACCATGTCGACCAGTCATTATTTCTCGAATAGAAATTAGTAGATTAAAGGTATAACAGAAAATTGACTTACAATTAAATCAATCAAATGAATATCGCAGAGCCTCAAGGGAGGGGGAGTGGAAGGTTCTTTAAGGTTCCCATGGTTTTCAGGACGGGGGGGGACTGGGACTATCAGTCGTCACCAACAGAGTGTGGAGGGGGATGATAGAAAATTGACTGACAATTAAATGGATCAAATGAATATTGCAGAGTCTTGAGGAGGAGCAGTGGAAGATTCTTTAGGGATCACATGGTTTTCAGGACGGGGGGGACTATCAGTCGTCATCAACAGAGTATGGAGGGGGATAATAGAAAATCGAATGACTAGTAAATGGATGAAATGAATCAGTATTGTAGAGCCGGGAGGGGGGGATCAGGAATTTTTTTCCCTTATCGAACCTCGTTCCCAGGTCTTTTTCCTCAACTAAGGGAAAAAGACCAGGGCACGAGGTTGTTAAGGGACCATGTCGACCAGTCATTATTTCTCGAATAGAAATGAGTAGATTAAAGGGCATAACAGAAAATTGACTTGCCATTAAATCAATGAAATGAATACGCAGAGCCTTAAGGGAGGGGGAGTGGAAGGTTCTTTAGGGTTCACATGGTTTTCAGGACGGGGGGGACTAGGACTATCAGTCGTCACCAACAGAGTGTGGAGGGGGATGATAGAAAATTGACTGACAATTAAATGGATCAAATGAATATTGCAGAGTCTTGAGGAGGAGCAGTGGAAGATTCTTTAGGGATCACATGGTTTTCAGGACGGGGGGGACTATCAGTCGTCATCAACAGAGTATGGAGGGGGATAATAGAAAATCGAATGACTAGTAAATGGATGAAATGAATCAGTATTGTAGAGCCGGGAGGGGGGGGGGGAGATATATGTAATCATGACACAACCAAAATCCTCCCATCCCCGCTTGGCGATAAATAATACTAGGTATAAAAATGAGGCTGATTGGGCGATAAGAAACGAAAAATTGTGGAGGAGATTACTTAATTCAAAATCACCCTGGCCAATAATGAGTTATCCCTTCCCCAAAGTACTTCCAGCATAAAGAACGTAAAAATACTCGTGAGCATATATTTCAAAACTTCAATATTTATTATGTTTGAGCTGTATCAATCAGCTCGTTATGAACTTTTGTCTCGATATGAACATATTTGCATCAAATAAATTATATTCACAACAATAACTTAAATAACAATTGAACTTGTTCCATTGGGAACCAATATATACCAATATCTACAACCTTTGTAAAAGTCGAATTAATTTCTACTTCTTTACATGACTCCTTTTTTGATACGCTTCTGCCATCTTTACTTCGACACGTGCAGAAGTAGCGTACAATTTTAAATGAAAGCTGGTCTCTTTTAATTGAGGGGCGTTTGATTTAAAACAACCATGTTATAACTAATGTTGCCATAAAGAGGAATACATTTGGCAACAGACCAAAGGCAGCCCCCACTGGTTTAATTTCGACCTCTGGTTGGACACATCCCATCCAGTTTAACGCTACATCTCTGGGATAAGGGTTCTCATTATCCTTCAAGAGCTGCACCGCTTTGTCGTCATAAGCGTAGTATTTGTTTCCTTTGAAGAAATATGACCTTTTTTTCCATTGACATACTGCGTTGATATCGTTGGGAACCCCCCTCCACACAGATATATCTCTGGGGTATCCAGCATCCGCTTTTAGTTTGTCAGATGTGCTGTCAAATCTCCAGTACTTTGAGCCCTTGAAGAAGTAGATTTTTCCATTTCGTACCCACTGAAATGCAGCGTCCATATTGGCAAGCTCATCGGGAAGATTAAGTTCCGAGATTTTAGCCGGACCATGGATGTACTCCTTGTTCTTGTATACCCAAAATCTAGTTTACAAATACAAAAAAAAGATAAATTAGATCACCCAGTGTTATCTTGAGGAGTATCACAGATTTGATACATAAACTCTCGTCAATTTCCCGAACAAAAACAATTTAACTTTCCAAGAAACATTTTAGTGTAATCACCTAGAATCCTTTAGGAAAATGGTGTGTCCAAAAGGTGTTATCGTAGTATAAGCTGCATCCATGTTTTCTTCCAGTTCGGGCCAGTGAGCTTTGATTTCATGAGGGCCAGAGGCACCACCCGTGTCTTTAATTTCCCAGAAATGTTTGCCACTGAAGGCGTAGGATTTCTCATCAGCTGTTGTTACCATGGTATCAACTTTGACGTCACTGCAAGTCTTGGGCGTTGGGTCTGGTTGAGGTCCGACCACATCTGGAAGACCTGTTAAATGGAAAAGCAAATGATTCAATGAGGGTACTTCAGTGTTCCTGTATGGAAATAACAGATGGTTCTTATCATAGGGAACATAAAAGCCTTGTCGTAGAATTGCTCAAAGCAGTCGAAGTTTTTTAGGAAAGCCTCGGATGTTATTTCTTTCTTACCGTAAAGAGCCTGGATTCCAGCTACGTCATCACTATCCAGTTTTAGCTTCTCAAAGTATCCCGGATAATAAGCGAACATGACAGACGAGGGATGATAAGTGTGATCCAAGCCCAAACTATGCCCCAGTTCATGCACAGCAAGCCACAGCAAATCAACTCCAACACCACCGTTGATAGCAAACTTGTCTTCATTATCAAAATGGACATCACCAGCAAGATCTTCTTCTCCCTCTCCTCCCAGAGGAAAAAAGGCATGAGCCAGCTCCCCTCCAGGTCCATCGGCTGGCCGGGTGTCGCCATGGAAACCCTGGACAAAACTTAACTTGATATCAGGTGTTGCCTTAGGGTCGTCATCTCGCTTGATTGACAGACCACTCGCGTTCGACCACATATCAATGGCTTTAGCGATTGTTTTGTCTATGTCTTCTTTGGCGATGTCCGGTGTGTGATTTTCGAGCCGGTAAGTAAGTAACTGCGAAGGAAAAAAAAAGGATATCAATCTGTTAAGTGACTACACTCCTCGCGCGCTCATCGTTTCACTCGCATGGATCACCCGCCTCGCACGCTGCGCGCGTCGTAAGGCGCGCCCTATACCACTCTACATGACAGGACGGAAAATGCGCGCACTGTAAGTACCTTCCGTTGTCCCATACAAAGCCTTAGAAAACTTTTCTAAGGCTTAGTAAGGGACAACGGAAGGTACTTAAAGTGCACGCCTTTTCCGTCCTGTCATGTAGCCGCTTGCAACTTGCTGGATGATCCTAGGCTTGAAAAATCATCTGGCAAATAACCAATTGAGCTAACCGCCTCCCGGTTAGCTCAATTAGTAGACCGCTGGACTGTTGTGCGGGAGGTCGAGGTCCATGGTTCGAGCCCCGGCCAGACCAACACTTAAGGTCTTAAAATAACTGAGGAGAATGCGCTACCTTTCTATAATATCAAGAAATGGATAGACATTCTAGTCTTCTCGGATAAGGACGAATAAACCGTAGGTCCCGTCTCCTGCATCTATTAATTAGTTAATTTGGTTAGGCAGGGGACGTTAAAGAACCCACTCACGAAATTACTGTGATGTGGTCTGGCCTGTTTACTGGGAATTGGTGGGGAGGGGGCATCTTCAAATAAGTTTCCTTCGATTGTTTGTAAACTGCTGATGCAGTCCGGCCAAAGTCCCCCGAAAAGTGTTGTGATGCGCATTTGATCATATCCACATGTTAATTTGCGCAATATAAATATTAAATTATTATTATTATTATTATTATTATTATTATTATTATTATTAT